GAAAAATGACGCCCAGGGAGATGACTGTCCAACTTATTGGAATACTACCATAATTGCTTGTCAAAATGTGTGTCATCATGCTCTTGTTTGACAAGTGATGTATAATAAATGTGATATTTAATAATTATCTCCTGACTATTGACTGTTGAGTGATCAAAATATTCAAATAATCAGGGTACAATCCTGTGCATAGTGCACACTAATCATTGTTATGTTTTGGTTCGTTTCGAGTGAAAGAGCACACAATCAATGGAAAACGCGATTTATTGTACTGCGATACGTTCAGGCCGAAAGAGTGTCCAAAAGAGAAACAAGTATGGCGAGCGCCGCGCCTCGTCGCCCGCGCCAGTCTCGCCGCTCGGCGCGCACCGTCAGCTGGCGGCGGCAGAGGCGCTCACAGGCACGGAGCCGGGGCGGCCAGCGGTGGCGGCGGCAGGGGCGCGCGCAGGCGCGGCCAGCAGCCGTGCGGGGGTTGGACCATAACACAACAATCATGTTGTTTTTGTGTAGGCCCCCTGCACATTGTTGTGTGCACTGCTATGTGCACCTTAAGTAAAAAAGTGACTGGTGGTACATGACAAAAGGTTGAGCAATTGTGAAGTTCATGCCCTTGGTCTTGCTGGTGCCAAATGCCTATAGCTATATAGATCAGTGAGGGTTGTAGACATGCTACATACATTGTGCATTTAAGATATTGGCACAAAGTTCATCCGTAATTACTATGCTTAACACCTTATGTAAGAAGCGACATAAATGCCCAGATGATAAAGCTCTCTGGTCAACATCACACAAATTTATTGACAAACTTTGCAGGAACATATTTACATCCATGGCAAATACTTTCGAGTTGATTCAGAAACTAGTTGCTAGTAAGCTTGCATTTTTGTAGGTACAACAACGGCCATATATTAAATCATAAAAACCTTCTCATGGCATTCATCACATACCCTTTTACTGAACAAGTACCTTATACCTAGCTACCCTGCAATGATTCTAAAATTTGTCCGCAATCCATCTATATCTCAACTGACACAATGAATTTCAAATACCCTAACAAAACCTATAACTGTACATAAGAAGAATGCAATACTACAAGAATTATGAATTTCTGAAGTTATTCTCACATGCTGGAATGTTGAAACTCTACTTTTGTCGTCCATTTCCATGTTTGATTGAGCCATCATATAGAACTGTTTTCGTTCTTCAGTCACAAGCTTTCCCACAAATCTTGAATTTTTACACATCATCTTGAACCATGCTCCAGTCTTTCCAACAAGGTACTATGTAACATCAAAGCAATTTTGATTTGTTACAACCGCTTCAGATCATGATAGGCTTGAACCAGGTAAGATAACCAGGTAAGGTTTGTTACACCATTTGCCAGACAAATCTCTACAAAATGTGTATCAATTTCCAAACTAAGTAATTGATCATATCAGTATTTGCAGTTTCCACACAATGTTTCATAATACTATTCTATGTTTATATAAATAAACTCAAATAATCCACAAATTGCTATTGAAACACTCCCACTTCAAGAATTCACAGCAATAACAGTAGAAGTTCAGAAGCAAACAAACATTGCGCTACATTTCGTATGAAACGCGCCATCGTCCTGAAGTTTCTACCACAGACGGTAGTTCAACCGCAGCCGTAGTGCGAAAACCCCTGCCCACCTTACCCCACGGCGGAGCTCGGTTGCAATTTGTAAATACGCGTGCCAGAGAGCGCTTTGATGCCGTGGCCTTGAAATGTGTCGGTTGCGCCATCTTACAACAGCAAAGCTACTCACTCCGGTTCAGATAAATGACGTAATATGAACTAAATATACATATTTTTAACATAATAATGCTAATGATTATGAAGTGTGAAATGCATAATCATTACACATATGAAGTGTGAAATGCTCTTTTTGAAGTGTGAAATAAAACAAAAATAAATAAGAAAACTCTCCTATGAAATATTCATCAGTTTCTCTCATGGTTCATTCTTTTGGTTCTTTTCAAATAAGATACCGAGAAATATTTAGTGGCGAGAACAATAACCCGGTTTACATAGCATTTTTGACAAGGCTCTAGCTTGTTAATTTGGCGATAATTTCGATGCAGTGGTCTTCAAATATCATTTTGTAAATTAGACTCGCGATTCGGCGGAGTCGCGAGTCCCGAATCGCGGGACTCGCGATTCGGCGTGTCGGCTCGCATTAGCCGCGCGTTTGCAGTCTTTCCGTGGTTTCCAGCGTCCAACCCTGTGATATGATGTTGGTCCCATACATTAGGGTGGGTGTCAAGGTCACCTGAAGGTCAGGTTAGGTCATTGACCTTTGATGACCTCGGTTCACTTTTTCGAGTTTAACATATCTCTAGGCTAGTTTTTGGAGCCGAATTCGAGCTTCGCAGCCATTTGAACATTTAGGTACGGAGTAGTTTTGGTGCCTTTTTAGCATGTTACGAAGTTGTCAGAAGCGGTCGACACGGTGCGAATACCCGGCAGGCGAATACTGATTGACCTGACCTGACCTGACCCAACCTGGCCTAAATGCATGAAGCCATCATCTGTGATCAAAACTAACTCGATATTCGTGATCAGCACCACGAAAAAAAAACCATAGCAGATTTGACGTTCTAGCAGGACGCAAAGGACGCGAGTATTGTGCCGTCGAAGGACGCAAAATGGCCTGTGCCGGCGAGGGTTAATCTTTAAAAAAAAGGTTAAAAATGAAGGTTGCCAATCAACATGCCAAACTTGAACTCGCTACCTCCATTTTTTGCAAAGTTATGGCGAAAAAAGAAGATAACTGCTCAAAATGGATGACGTCAAATTTTCGAGCTCAATTTTTGGCCGTTCTAGGCCACATAGCGTAAAAATATCATCATTGTATTCCCCGTGACCAGGGCTGCGGAGTCAGACTCGGAGTTGCAGTCGGAGTCGGTCGAAGTCGACAGTTCTTGCCGGAGTTCGAGTCGGAGTCGGAGTCGATTTTAGATACCGGAGCTCCGGAGTCTGAGTCGGGGTCACCGAAAATCTATTGACACCGCAGCCCTGCCATTGATGAACTGCATGGAATAGATATAAAGGATAACCTTCACATGCAAAAATATCAACTTTGAAATCTGGCATCTTTGACTTGACCTCCACCAGATCGTAACCACAACTGGCCTCAATGGTCGCCTAAACCACCTAAACCAACAATAAATTTGAAATGTAAAATTGGCCATAAAGCATGCATCACACGACCCTAGTATAGTTGGGTTCATTCATAAAGTGACCCTAAGTGACCTGACCCCTATAAGCTGACCTAGTAAACTGGTAGCAGTGACCTCATTCAGAAGCATATGTAGATATGAGACAAGAGCGCTCTATAGACCGTTGTTTTAAAAAGTATTCGATATATCGATTATTTTGTGAAAACACGCCTTTTACTGTAACGTATTGGCCTTCGACGGCCTGTAAACGGTGAAAATGCGACCTTTGGCGTGACCTATGACCACATCAGTTGCATCTAGGTCAATGAAATTTGGTCGCACGGTAGTTCCCTGTGGGGCTATCGAACGGCGTTTTAATTTTGAAAATCAGTCGCTAGCTTTTCCAGATTTTGGGAAGGGGGGGGGGGGAACGCCCTCCCCCAACGGGTGGCAGGGTCCGAGAATAGCCCAACAGGGCGCATGCTAAAACTCCGAAATTATTGTTAGTGCGCAGCCGCTACCAGGCCTATACAAAACGAAACCCATTGAAAGCAATCGTCGAGTCAGTCGGCATGGCCAAGCCGAATATCATAAATTGATCTTAAGGTTTGATCTTACACTTGATCTTGCACTTGCACATGACTTGCACTGACAGATCCAAGGGGAGGGGGGAGGGCATTCGTGGCAATGTCCCTCCCGCACCGCCCGAAATCGATAAAAATTGTTGTTTAGTTTTTTTTTTATAACAGAAAGAAAACTAATTAATACAAAAAACAAACAATTGTTAATAAGAAAAAGTTGTTCTAAACTGTGCAGCCTGTTTACAGATGCGGGTCACACAGGTCACACGATGTGAAGCTCCCCGGCCGTACGAACTCGCTGAACGAGTTAGGACACGGATGGTGACTTATCTTCTCAAAGCTGGTTGGAGGACAAAACCATGGCCTGCCTTTCAAATTTCAATGCTATTTTGAAACTTCTTCTTATTGAAAACGTTAAGTTTGCTGTAGGATATACAATATAAAACGACGCTTGTAAACGTGTCACGTTTATTTTTTATGTGATTGCTCATGCTACAGATACCGACGTAGAAATAGTAAAATGGTTACAGCCTAGGCACCACCCCAATCATTATTGCCTACAAAGATGTAATGTAGTCGTACATTTTCCTGATAACTACTTCCGGTAGCGAAATAATTAAACACAATTAATTTGTTTACAATATGCACTTGCCTACATAGGTAGCCTGTATACATAGCCCATATGCGGATGTTAATTCACTATAGCTGACATTATTCTACCTACGATCAACTCACTGATTGTATAAACGTCTCTCTAATCAGCTCACACTCCGAGAAAACACGCATCAATTTATAATTTTTGTGTGGCGTTGTTCGCGTTTAGTTCTGACATCGTATGAATAAAACACGCTGTTTGTTAAATGTTAGTTTAACTCCTACGTTGTGTTCACGTCTACTTCTGTCCAAAGCTAACTCTAAACTTTTCAATATTTTAGATGAGTAGTGAATACGCGAGAACATACGAGGTGGGTGGTTACATAAAAATTGGATCTACAATGTGATACGTTCAGAAACGCAGGAAAAACGCGCACAAAAAAAAAGAAAGAGAAAAAGGCGCACCTGTCACCGACTACTCTAACTACATGCTTTTTTAGGTAATCTCAGACAAATTTAACAGTTAAACAAAGTACCTACTGCATATCTACATATTAAACTAACTACAATAATATGGTCGCACAATCCGCAACGTGGCACATTAGCATGAATAAATCACGATACATGATCATTTGCGCGATATTAGTAAAATTGCTGCGAGTGGCAGCCACGCCACCATTTCTACTGGCCATAACTACACCAAACCTGGATAACATGATTATTTTCGGGATTATATCACTTCCATAACACAAAACGTGATGGAAGATCAGAGAGCCTTGCGCATACACACGTCACTGACAAGATGCTTAACTACAATAAAGAAACCACTCGTACCTTCTGCTGGCCTTAGGTTAGACAATACTGCAATTCGTTGGGTGTTTTTGAGACCCTCCTGGTGTGACCGGTCGTCATATGGGGCTCAACTCGATGTTGTCGTTGCTGCTGCACTGTACGGCTGCCCAAGCCAGCTCACATGAGTACTGAGCAGCCCAGTATTTCCATGGTGCGACCTTCGGCCGAACCCTTCCGGTCACCGTCACTGCTGCTCCACCAATCACCGCTCTCTGAGCCGTGACCCCGCCGTGACCCCGCCCGGGTCAAGGTCAGCCAGCTGTCTGCCGGCCGCCTTACAGGACTCCGATGGAGTCGCGACGATACTTGGGAAGACGGTCGGCGCCCGTGTCTTTGTCCATCGAGGCCTTCTTGCTGATGAGCGCCCGGGTTTTGTCGGTGACCTCGGCAGTTCGCAGCGTGATGCCGAAAATGTCCTCGTGGTAGTGGTTGGAATCCTGCAGGGGATGAGGCTCAGTCAAATGGCGTAAGAGCGCTGAATCCACACGACCGGGGCAGGGCCTCGTCTAAGAAATTTTCACTGGGGGGGGGGGGGGGGGGCAGAGACTGAAGGAGCCAAACCTAGGGTACCCCCAAATCCTGTTTTCTCACCGGATTTAGGCCACTTGTTTTTCGTCACAGCCCTGAGAACATGATTTTTTTTAACAAAAGAAAACAAAACAAAAACAAAAATAGACGATCTGCGCCATACCGTAACCCTCGCCCGCATGCATAGCAGAAGGGTGCGGGGGGGGGGGTCGAACGGACTCCTCTCGGTTTTTCGCAAATAAGTCGCGCAAAAAGCGACCGATCGCGACACAACTTTCAGTACCCTCGCGTTTATCAATTTCACACCAACTCTGAAACTTTCATGACCCTGACCCAAATGACCTTTGACCTGTGAGTTACTTTTCGAGACCAGGTTTAGCCGGAAACGCAATTCGGCCTACGTCGGCTCGCATTAGCCGAGCGTTTGCAGTCTTTTCGTGGTTTCAAGCGTTTAAACATGGAATATGATGTTGCCCCCATGCATTAGGGTGGGTGTCAAGGTCTCCGAAAGGTCAGGTCAGGTCATTGACCTTTGATGACCTCGGTTCACTTTTTCGAGTTTAACACGCTTTTAGACTAGTTTTTGGAGCTGATTTCGAATTTAGCAGCCATTTGAACAATTACGAAGAAGTTTTGGTGCCTTCGCAACATGTTACGAAGCTGTCAGAGGTGTTTGCCACCTACTACGAATACCCGGCAAAATCCTTACTGGTTGATCTGACCTGATCTGACCCGACCTGACCTTAACCCACGAGCCGCTGGGGGGGGGGGCATAAAGTTGCCCCCCTTTACGTTTGGTAAAATATCTCCGAAACCTGATGAGCTACGAACGTGAAACTTGTCATAGCTTCAAATGAATACCTAGGCAATGTTTGAGGAAAGTTTGGTGGTTGTAGCACCTAAGATGACGTCACAGTGACGTCATGAAGTTTTGTCGTTTTCTGATATGGACCGTTTCTGATGACGCTGAGCATGAAACTCAACTGTAAATGAACTAGACAGCACCTGCTGTCATCCTAAAACATCTAACTACACTTCCATCTAGTTTCTGACCAATAATTGGCCCTTTATATTCGGTCCCATATATCTGCTGTATCGTGAGGAATATGAGAGTCGCAAATCTATAATTTCACTTATGACGTCACTGTGACGTCATTTCAAATGGGATCGACACCAAATTTGGACACAACCTCGGCTAGGTATTCAGGGAGATGTGTGCAAAGTTTCGCTTCTCTATCTCTTCGCGTTGCGACGATATCGTCGCAGAAGTAAAGGGGGGGCAACTATATGCCCCCCCCCCCAGCGGCCGGCGGGTGGCGCGGAGGCCCAGCGGCCGCCGGGTTAATGCATGGAGACATTATCTATTATCATAACTAACATGGTATTCGTGATCAGCACCCCGAAAAACTCATAACAGCCACCCTTTACGACGTTCTAACAGGTTCCGATTTCCCCGACTTTTGGGTCATTGACCTGACCTGGAAGGTCAACTGATGACTAAGGATCTTGAAATTGGGTATCATCGTTTTCCTCTCGTCACGGGCAACACGGTCGTTTGTTCCGCGAAGTTCTAGCTCGATCAGGGGCGAAACGGCAAGGGGGTCTAACGGACCTCCCCCCCCTTATACGTTCGCGACTGGAAAAACACCAATACCGGCGAGGGTTAACATTAGTGTGCTACCCCTTCACATTGACCCACCAGACAGTGATAACATAGGTACTATCCGTGTTGGGCGTTTCATTGAGTTTGTATGTTTGTGGGGGGGGGGGGGCAAACACGAGCTGGGTTGCTGGCCAGCTGCCATTTTATGATTTGCTACTCGGCGCTCTCTGGGCCCTGTTTCACGGCACGCCCCTTCACTTCGCTTCAGCGCGCTTCACTGAAGCGGTGAGGTAAACGGAACCTCCGATGTTAAGGTATGACCTCATCACAAAACAACAGCGTGTTGTATTATATTGCTTGCAGTATTGCTTCGCATTGAGATATGTCGCAGAATACAAACATAAAATGTAACAGTCATATTCCTGATTTCAATGCGAAACAATACCTACTGCAAGCAATATAATACAGCGTGCTAGCGTTTAGTGATGACGTCTTACCTTAGCATCGGAGGTTCCGTTTAACTCGCCGCTTCAGTGAAGCGCGCTGAAGCGGAGTGAAGCGGCGTGCCGTGAAACAGGGCACAGCTCTGAAAATCACAAAACCCTATCTTTTCCCATAGCCATGAACACTGAACAGTTATTGAACGAATCATTTCATGTTTCTCGTTAAATCCATGTAAGATCCCTAACAAAAACGTATTGCGGAGAAGGTAATTTTGTGAGAAGTTAACGTTTTGACTGGGGGGGGGGGGGCAAATGTTGGCCACTGGGGGGCAATCCGCTCCACTGGGGGAGGCAATTGCCCCCCCAGTTAACATGTTAGACGAGGCCCTGGACCAGGGACGAATCAAAGCGGGACCGTGACTTCCATTTTCAAGATTAGAACAAGCAAAGATGCATGTAGAAATTTTACCGTTGGTGCTTACTTTACTTCACCATTTACGATTAAATAAACAATTCTAAAATGCCGTTTTTCAACAAGATAAAATCTAGTGTAACAATTCAACCAAAATAGTCCGCAGCCATCGGCGTTTGAGCACGTACCCTCATCTTCTCCATGTACAGTTTAGCCTGTTCTGGCTCCATGCCAGCCTTGGTGTAAAGCATCTTCTCCAGTGTCAGGTAGACGTCGTGGGCCATGGTGCAGTCACCACAGACGTAGATGTGGCCGTTGGGGTTCGTCAGGCACTCCAGCACGTCCTCGTGCTGCTCCATCAGCTGATCCTGCACGTACGTCTGTGAGAGGAGAAGAAAAGGTGTTAGCTGGGCTCCACGAGGCATAGTGAATCATAGCAGCGACCAGAAGCCGTTGAAGACTGAAGTACTCTACTTACAGTTATATTCGATGATGTTAGAGGCTGGAAAATTTAATATTTTAGTATCTTCAAGGAATACACAATTCCTATCCCACCACATTTAATTTTCTTTCAAACTGCCATTTTAGATTCCTTGATATACCCGCCCTGTTAGCTTCCTATCTTTAACCACCATCCTAGCTTCCTATCTAGCCAGCATCCTAGCTGCCTATCCAGTAACTCCTAGCTTCCTATCTATCCCACCTTAGGCACGCCGGGCTGCCTGGAGAGGGCCAGGTGGCACTTGGTAAGCACCCCGTCCTGCATCATGCCCTTCTTCTCCTCGGCGTACAGATCCATGGCGCGGCTCCGGCCACCGAAGAACAGCGTCATCGGGCCGAACTTGGTGCCTTCTGGAGACGGGGGGGGAGGGGGGGAGGGGGATGAAGTGTACTGCCAGTCGGCAGACAACACCGACGTAAGGTAACTCGATAAACGTGATACGCTATGCAATATGCAACTTATTTTTACCTTTCAATTGGTTCGATAATCCGTCTTCATAACCCTCAAACCCGTCTTCCGTCTATCCGTCCCGTCTCCATGATTCCCGTCTCCCGTTTCATTTCACCTGTCTCTCGTCTCTCAGCCGTCTCCGTCTCCGTCTCTCGTGCACCACTCACCAGGCGCGCGTCTCTTCTCGTGGTGCCGCTGCTCCCAGAAGGAGCGGAACGGAGCTACGCCAGTGCCTGGTCCGATCATCATGATCGGGTCCGACTTGTTCTCTGGCATGTGGAACGACGGAGCGCTGAAAATAAATCGAAAATATGATGCCAAACGTTTACAACAGAAAACAATAATGCATAAAAATAATAGCGACAAACTGCATAGTGGGGAACGTTCCCGTGCGTCGGAGAGATAAAATGAGACTGACTCTGATATACGTGACTGCATATGTGTCCAGAAGTGAGGTTGGCTTACTTTCTGAAGTAGCAGATGATCCGCTCGCCCTCCTCGATTTCGTTGAGGTAGTTGGAGCACACACCGTAGTGAAGAGGGCCCTGGCCGCCTGTGAAAGAGATATTCACAGTTTGTGAGCACATTGCACACTGAATGTGTCCTTTGAACTATCAAATGTAGACGAAAGTTCAATAACCATTGAACTTTCGTCTTCATCAATGGTTTTTTTACTTATTCGATAGCATAGGTGCATGCAGTTTCTAATGTTTTTGTTCATAAATGAAATGCGAGCACGATGATAACCATTCACCCGAGCCAGCTGCCGAATAACAAAACACAAGCGACGAAATAATTCTGCGACAGTCGCGACATCTATTCTACTCCAAGTAGTTACATCTATCGTCGATAGGTGTCAGGACTGAGCACAGCTCTTACCCCGAGTGTGGTATTGCACGACGGCGACCGTCAGCTGCACCTCGTCCGGGCGGTAATCGGGGGCAGACGAGATACTGTACGCCCTGTCAACGATTCAGACAACACAAAATGACCCACAAGTTCGAATCATGCAGCCACCATAACGCTTCAGACGGCGCGTAGAGCGTAGCGAAGCTATAGGTATTGCGGTACAGTATAACTTCAGGCGTTTATCACTAACGCCATCTAGGAGCAGAGCTTTAAGCTCTCCAGCACGCCATGAGCCGTCGGCGTTTCGAGTGGCTGAGTCCACGAAACACGGTGCTAGGACAGCGAAAGCTGTAAATCGTTATATAAGAATATGCTTTGTTTCTCTACACCGTCGCTAAAATGTTTTTTATCTTATTCCTAGCTATAAGTATCGAACTAATGCTCCAATCGCATGAGTGTTTCTCATCACGGAAACGCCTCCATCCTCTGAGGCTGGTTGCTCTCACCTGGCCTGCATGAGCGGCAGGTTGCAGAGGATGAACGGTCCGTCGGCCTCGATCGACGGGAACTCTGCCAGCGTCTCGGCCAGGTTTGGCCAGTTGGTGAACTTCCACTCCTCGTACGCCTCGCCGTTCTGACGGAGATGGCGACAGGGTTAAACGAGGTCATATGCGGAAGTCAAGATAAAATAAAGTTACACTGGGGTTAATTGGGGAGACACGGGCTCAGCCCCGGGCCCGGTGACTCACTAGGGTGCCTGCCCAGACCAATGTCTCCCCCTATATCCTATCATCCTCTCGGTTCTGAAATGGTCCCATTGGACCGAAAGGGACTAACCCAACAAAACAAAAACAAAAATTGGGGAGATATCGGGTCGTTTAACAGTGGTCAAAACTCAAAACGACATGTTTTACATATATAGATAAAAGGATCAGCATGGTTAAAACTGGATTGAACCGATAGAGTGGACCAAAGGAATGTCTTTTTTTAACATATCATAACTTTGCATTTAATCAGTCAAACAAGCCTCTCGACGAAGTCTTGTAAATCAAAGTTACACAATTTCCAAGTTGCCTCGATCGGACTACTCACCGTGGCAAGCAGTTTGAGCTTAGTTTGCTCGTTCTCATCGGTGGCCATTGCGGCCATCATGCGCAGCATGTTGGGTGTGGGAGGCGTGGTGACATCCATGTACCAGGTCAGCATATCGGTGACAGTGGTACGAGGCAGACGCTGGTGCGCCTCCCAGCGCTTGTCCACGCCTGAGGGATAGCACAGGAGGTTAGAGGGTGGTGGTGAATGTTAGATGAACGGGTGAAATCATGGAGTTTGTGAGCTAGTGACAGGTGGGCCTGGATAATCACGTAGAATGAAAGCAATTTGTACCGTAAGCATTTTATATCTAATCCATATCAGCCTTGGTGGTTGGATTAGTAAACAAAGGCTTCGAAAAAAATTGCAAACTGCAAGAAAACGAACAGATACTACATATATCATAACACTTGTTTCCCTAATGTCAACACCTACAGCTAGCACTAGTAAACAATGGTTTCACAGACTCTCCTAGGCACCTTTATATTGCCTCCTAACCTACACAACACACCGCTACCTTCATCTCCACTTTCCAACTCACCGAGAGGCGTGGTGACCTTCCTCATGACCTGGAGCTCGACAGGTCCCTCTGGACAGCGGATCAGGCGCCGGCGGATCGCGTTCACAATCTCCTGGCGGTTTCTCGGGAATACCGCCAAGTGGTCGCCCGGCTTGAACTTGAGCTTCGACGGGTTGCCACCAGAAGTCACTGACACGTTGATGGTGCTGCGGCTATTAGGAGGGGAAGGGGGTAAAATGAAATTGAGTTGCGTATCTATTGAGTTAGGATAATGAATAACGCTAATTTTTCACATTTCATGTTATAAGTTACCGTATTCCACTTGTACATGTCCTCTGTGTTCTCTTATTCACAACACAAAATTCCCGTTATCATCTCTCACTTCCTTCCTATGATTTTTTTCTCCGTCTCGCTCTCCCTCTCTCCTCTATCTCTCCCCTCCCACTCTCCCTTCCAACCCTCCTTACCCGGTGTCCTTCTCGTGCACCATTCTCGCGTGTTTGGCCGTGCAGGAGATCAGCTGACGGCCGTGACAGCGGCCCAGGCCCGGCACCAAGTCATCAGCAGTGTGTGTCTGCATCAGACGCACTGCGTCCGGGCTGGCTGCCTTGTCCGAGTTGAGACGCTCCGTGGCACGGGCCATCACCGAGTCACTCTCCAGGCAGAAGGCGTCGCACGCGGCCTGAGGTGACGGGACGGGGCACGGGGAGTGGGTTTGTTGAGGCGTGTTTGACAGTAGGAGCTTTGGTACGGAGCTGTGGGCCGGGTCTAAAGATCAAATCGCAATAAGCAATATACAAAAACGATATGTACCTACCTAATACTCAGGTGAAATAGATGCATGGGGCGAATGTAACAAAAGGGTTCAAATGCTTGGAAAAAAGCTTGAAATCATACATAGCAAAAGGTGTAGAATCATACCGAAAAATAAATGTATGAGGCATCACTTTCCGATTCATCGAATAACCCACCTTGAAGACGTCGGCGGCCCACTCCTTGAAGCTCTGCTCCTGTCCGTTGAGTTCGTCTCCGCAGGCGACGGGCTCGATCCTCTCGCCGGAGAGGTGGCCCAGCAGGCTGTCCACATCCTTACCGAACTGGCAGTACTTGGGGTAGGCGCTCGAGCCCAGCGCGAACACGGCGAACCTGGGGAAAAGCGAGGATTACTGGGTGCAGGATGTAGTAGTAGGTCCTAGTAGGTCACTACATTGCCACTGTTTTCCTAAGAAATAATGTTCTATCAATAGCATGATCGAGAAAATAATGCGTAAAATATGATCGACTTCAAACCGAAGAGGACAAGTGCACAAGATACTGGTAAACTGAATGAATGTCATCAAATTCGCATTAAATAGTCACAAAAAGGTCAAAAACACCATAAAAGCTCCCCAAACAATCTTTTATAGACGTTGACACCGCCCAAAACTAAAAGACAGCGGCACTGCCACCCACGTCCACCCTCCAGTACCTGACGTTGGCCAGACTGCCGGCAGGCGCCTCACTGTAGACGGACGGCCAGCGCTGCCAGTCGCCGTTTTGTCCCGTGCGGTCCGGCGTGTTCGGCACGCTCATGTTCTGCACGGCCTTGGAGAGTGGCTCAGTGGCCGACATGCCCTTGGGAGTCGATTGGGAGCGGGCGAACTGACCCACCGGCACGATCCTGAGAGAGACGTGGGAAGGAGCAATAGCTGTCATTGCAGCAGAAAATGTCAACGGTAAGCCACTGAAAATTGAATGCCGATCGCAAAATTCGAAGTTGAAAAGAAAGTTATTGTTTTTAAATGATAGGTTGACAGGAGAAATACTATTGATTATTAAAGCAACTAGGAATAAGCAATATCTAAACTTGACATCATCACACTTCTAATGCAGGTTTTCCGTTTCAAGCCTCGACGACGCGTAGTGGCGTCTCACCTCTGCGCGGGGTTGAAGGGTTTCTTGATGTCCGGCACACTGTCCAGCGTGTTGGTGGACGACATCATCAGGTGGTACTCCTCTGCCATGTTTTGCTGTGGACGGTCAGAAACGCAGGTCAGGCTACCACTCACATACTAACTAGACAAAATGCACAAAAGTGAAAATATTTGAAACTAATAAATGTAGAGAAACAATAAAATTAACAAAACTGAAAGACGTGAATAAGCGATTAAAAAAAACAGAAAAATTATACGAAAAAGTCTATATAATAAATATCAAAGTTTATGTAGCAATAATTCCGTTTCAATATATCACGTGAACAGTGAACACCATACTCGGGATTAAACGTTAGGAGCTCACCGTATCGGTCCCAAATCATAGCAAAACACCTTTTATCAGTGACTACGCCACGTACCAGCGCCTTGAAAAAGGTCTCTCCGTTCTCCGGGGCGTCTCCGTTTCCGAATGTGGAGGTCACCACGAGCAGCAGGCCCTCGTGCTCCAGGTCAACGATGTCGTAGTCGTCCATACACATCACCTGTGGTGGCGGCACAGGTCAGCTCTGACAGCACACGCCAGCTCGACTCTCCGTGGGGACCAAAATAGATTGACTGTCATGAATACACTGTCACTTATATGTATACGTAAATGTCTCGCCAGGAAACATGTTAAAGCACAAAAACCAAACAAAATATATGCGGTCACAGCCTCTGTATACCGTAAAGTGGGGCTATTTGAGACAGTGGGGCTATTTGAGACAGTATTTAAAATCGCTATAAAATGAAGAGCGTTTGATTTTTATGTGATATTTTTGCTCAGGAAGATATAAAATCGAGCAGTAAATCGCCTGAGCAAAAATTAAGCATAAATTTCAAACGGTTTTTATTTTATAACAATTTTAAATACTGTCTCAAATAGCCCCACTGTCTCAAATAGCCCCACCTTACGGTACGTGACCAATGCTTTTTTTCGCAACACTATCGGATTTTTATCGGTCTTCATCTTCGACGCTCAATCTCCATCCATATTCATTTGTTAGGTAGTGACCACGGCGCCACCGATGCAACAACTCCCTGTACTCTATGCGTAAATAACGGATATCCGTACCGCTTCCGCGTATGTTTTGCATTTATACGCGTATAGTGTACATTCCTCGTATATTATGACATGTCCTTCAATTGCAGTCAATTTTACATCCTACAGCATAATCACTCGTATACCTATCTGCTGTCCTATATCGGCAGCCAACAGCCGATGCCAATGGCTCCGGAATAATGTATCCTTATCGGAAGTTGGCTTATGAGAAGTCAGATCTCCCTTCAGATCCATGGTATCGTAGCGACAAGCGAAAGAAGTCAGAGATCCAGTGCACCATCAATTTTTAAAAGAAGCGTCATTCTCATGAAGGATTAATGATCCTGGAATGTAAATCTTTCGTTCTGATATAACATAAACCATAAGCTACTTCAGACTCTTATGTCGGACGAGAGAAGCGTCAGCCTAAGTCGGTTACTCAGTTCGACGTAACCGCTGCCCTGTTCACATTTGTGGATAGAATTTGCATTTCTGCCGACGGCTTTTTTGCATAGGTATTCATGACCAGTGCAATGTGTAAAGCATGCAGTATGCACACTAAGCACGGTTTGTTGCGCAGACTCAGTGCTTAGCAGGAGTCCTATGGGGGACGGGTGATTTTACAAGGTCATACTGTGCACTTGTGTGCCGATAAACCGTCGCTACTCTCTCATAATTAATCATCATGGTCCGCTATTGGATATATTGGTCGGCACATTATCTTACATGAAATATTATCTGTTTTCACGACGGCTATCTGGTACACATTTGGTGCATATTTGGTCAAATTTGGTTCATCGTGTTTCTTAGAAGTGTTGCAGTTTGGGTTGCACAGTTGCTTATATAGGTATGCACTGCCTGCTTTTCAAATTATCAGACAACATTTTCGAGGAAAGAACTGAAATACATTCCTGACATAAAGATAATTGCTGTAAAAGGGATTTGGTGCAGATTAGGACAGGTCACATTTGGTGCATTCGCAAATAGTCCGTCGTGAAAACGGTTAGTAGGGGTAGAAATGTGGTGACTAAAATCATCTCGTGGACCAGCTGGTGAACCGTAGAAGCCACAAAGCTCCAGCGTCCATCCCATTGAGCCATAGAGGGGCGGATCGGAAACAAGTCTTGTGCGTGGGGCGGCAGAGTCCGAACTAATGTCATTGGCCAGATGGACAGCCCACGCTGGACGCTCTAACTCGATAGCTGAGAGGCCGGCAATCTGGTTAGCACGGCGGTGGAAAAACCTGTTACCTGTAAATGCTGAATGTCGACGAGACGGTCCCGTTCTGCGCGATATAAAACGGATGTGATTCGCGGTCTAGTGTGATGTTCAGACTGGAAGACGGTTGCACCGCGGACCATTCTACAGCTGAATTGTATTGGGAACCTAACGCACGCTGTTAGGATATTGCGAGGAGACAAAACGCTGAAACTATGCCGCCCTATCATAATCCTAAGATAATGGTTGAAATACATAAAATAAAAGAATAGTTCTACAGTTTTCTCGTCATTTTTCATAAACTTCCCGCAAAGCGCAAACAGCGATCTTGCCTAAAAGCACATAGATACTTAAAATCATTCGGTTTCACCGACTCACCTGGGCGTTGAAGGCGTGGCTGAAGACCTGGCCGAGCATGTTGGCGTACGTCTCTGACTTTCCCGTCTCCGTGGCGTACAGGATGGTGGCCTTGACACGGCGGGACAACGCCTCCCCGAACAGCTGAGACGCAAACTGGACAGCGCTGGAGGACGGGGGCAGTGTCAGTGTCAGTGTCACGGAGTCCGTGTCACATGGTGTTGACATGGTATTGCAAGGGTGGTGTTGCTGCCGAAATTACAATTCCATGGAAATGGAACTCGCGGGCGACTGTTCAATTGACCTGGTTTCAAGAAAAGTCGATCAGTCGGATTTCAACACAATCAACTGACATTCCATGCACCCAGCGCCCTTTCCACTCCCACCAGCTAGGACCCGGCAATCGGAAACCGACGGCGAATCTGACAGAGGGGCTTACCCCGCGATCTCCTTGAAATGGAACTTGCGCTGCTGCTTTCGCACCGCCTCGCTGCCATCACGCTTCTTCCAGTTGTGTGTCTTCCATGCTTGCACCTGTTCAGACGAAAAGTCGACCGGTGAGATCAATATGGCTTTGCAGACATGGGAGGCTAGAAGGATGTAGCATGACTCTCTAATTAGTTATGCATATAGTTTGCGACAGTTCCAAGAAGTTTTACGTTTCACTGCAGACAGAAACAATTTTAGAAACTAAGCCTGACAGGTAAGGCCTCCATAGCTGACAGACGTTATCAAGCAAAAGTCGCCATCGCCATAAAATTGCTGCTGAACTGCACAGTGCACAGCCTCCTTATGCCGTTTCAAATGATAACATTAGTGACCTTGAGGTGGGCGGTATGACGTTTAGCGTAAGATATCCAACATCTCCTACTCGTAAGTCATGCTGCAGTTCAGAAACACCAACGGCAAAAGCAGGGCCGATAATAGCGATCGCACCATAAGAGAAACTACAGTGGGACAGACAAACAAAGGAGTTGCGACTGTGACGCAGAAGGAACAAGCAAAGTACACCTTTTTTCATTGCGAGTCGGCATCTGTGCAGGTCATATAGACTTCTTACATTTAAGCCGGCAACAGGCGTGGTCTTTCGACATTTGCGCGCCTCTCATCGACACAACGCGCCTTCACGATAAGGGGCATTGAAAATAGGCAGTGTGCACAACTTCGACACTGTTCAGTGGATTTAGACATAGCACACTGAATATGACAACGTCCATCTGATATAGACGGGCGTGAATTAATTTTGACAAAGGTCTTTTAATTTCGTTTACGATTATATCAAACTTCATCGTATACATATAATCAATATGCATGAGTTGAGCGTTCATAATCGACATACCCATAACTGAATTTGGTTTGATTGTCCTCGCGGCCTGTCTCTACGGATATACGCAGATAATGAATTGTTATCACGTTCATAAAACACCATAGAATTGCTTTTTACACCTTTTTTCATTGCGAGTCGGCATCTGTGCAGGTCATATAGACTTCTTACATTTAAGCCGGCAACAGGCGTGGTCTTTCGACATTTGCGCGCCTCTCATCGACACAACGCGCCTTCACGATAAGGGGCATTGAAAATAGGCAGTGTGCACAACTTCGACACTGTTCAGTGGATTTAGACATAGCACACTGAATATGACAACGTCCATCTGATATAGACGGGCGTGAATTAATTTTGACAAAGGTCTTTTAATTTCGTTTACGATTATATCAAACTTCATCGTATACATATAATCAATATGCATGAGTTGAGCGTTCATAATCGACATACCCATAACTGAATTTGGTTTGATTGTCCTCGCGGCCTGTCTCTACGGATATACGCAGATAATGAATTGTTATCACGTTCATAAAACACCATAGAATTGCTTTTAAGTCTCATTGCACGATACAACACAATTTGGTTTCAATACAAGTAGAACTTTATTTATGTGTGTGTACTTCAACATTTTAAAACAAATAAATACAAGCAGTTAACGAATCAATTTAATCCACAGTAATGGCTCATCAGCTTGAAATGCCTCTGGTAAAAAAGCAACATGATAAACAAAATTTCATTTGCGTATGGCCAATGGCCATGCCACATCAAAAGAATGTGAAAGAACTATGTAACGTGACACTGCATTAACAATGCACACAAGCAGCACAATCAGTGCACATAACCGACCGCTCCGCCGCCGCCAGTTGTCGCCGCGCCGGTGCGGTCACTCGGCCCATGTCCTCTCTGGCCAGGCAGGCGCCGATGAACGCGTTGGTGTGTTGATAAGCAGCTGCCACCTTCTCCTGGGTCATGGCAGCCATCGCTTGATTCGCCAGCTCCTCCAGGATGGCGCTCCTCCACGTTCCGATGCCACGGTGTCCTGCCGCCAGAGCCGCGCCGCGATCGTCCAGCGTATACCCTGCACCTGTCCAAGACGCTGCTTCAGGTCTGCTTTGTAGACAGAGAAACAGTTCTCAATGGGGTTCAAGAACGGCGAATACGCATCCACTTTGCCACGATGGACCAGGCGGTGGTCCTCTTTACGCTCAACCGGCGGGCCACAGCGACGTAATCGTTGCTTGATCGTTGCCATCACGGTACGCTTGGATGATTCGCTCGCGGTCCGCGGCACAAACGGAATGGCGGCGTCTCGGCATCTTGATAACGAGTGACGCAAGCACACTGACCTGGCTTGAGGTCACCTAGCCTACCGGGAACCAGTAGAGGTTCAAGTGTAAATGATATAGATGACGCCACGTGGTCAGTTTGCTACTTCAGCATAGTTTATCAACACAAAACAAAACATGTTTCATATTTTCATTGTCCTACAAAAAAATCAAATGCAAATAAAAATCAAATTATCCATTAACGAAATCCATTTTGTATTGCCTAATTCAATCGAGAAACGACTAAATTAAGTGAACTAAGACTAAATCTATTGTCAGTGTCGATATCAAATGCCCTTGTCGATATATACTGTGACACCTTTCGAAAATGAACAGCGGATAAACTAACGAAATGAAAACTGTCGTACAGTCCAAAGTAAGTCTAACACAATGCTCATTTACCGAACTGGGCCGCCTATGGTTACGGTCAATTGACTCTATGCCGACTCGCAATGAAAAAAGGTGTATCATTGAGCATCAGCAATCGGAGACGTGTCAGGATGATAAACCGCCGCAGCAGTATCAGCAGCACCAGACGGAATCGCAGGAGTCAGGAGCAAAGAGTAAAGACGCAACAGCAAGAGCAGAAAGATGCACAGCAAGATCAACTACAAGATCAGCAGCAGAATCAGGACTCCATACCTGGTAGGAGTAGGTCGGCTTGACGATGTAGCGCGACATCTCCTGGTGGAAGACGGGGGTGACCGATCCGGACATGGGCGGCACGATCCACACCCAGTCGGCCGGGCAGCCGCCGCGCAGACGCTGCTCGTTCTCCATAAACTTCATGAACGAGTCGGCCGCCGTGTGGTGGTCCACGATCGTCACGTTCGCCTCCTGCGGGCGGCGGGCGGACCAGTGACGTCATTAAGTCGGAGCCAGTGACGTCATATTTTTTGGGGGAAAGGTGTGGCTATTGGAGAATGTCGGATGCATGTGGGCATGTGTATTTACGAATGTGGAAATCATACGCACGAATGAAATATGTCAAATCCTTCTAACTTCACCGTGAATTGGCGTGCGTGCGTGCGTGCGATTGACGGCCCAGTCACCAGCTGAGGAAGTGCTTTAAGTCTCGAAAGTGATTGGGTATTCACAAGAATGCTCACTGACGTAAGCGACCTGGTGGCCTGGTCCAGTCAGGGGGAGGGGGGGGGGGAGTGAAGCTACAGGGTGGAGCAGGGAAGCAACAGAACCTGTTAGCTCAGTGGTTGCGACGACCCTCTGCAGACAGACAGGTTTCTTAGCACGTGGAGATCGTACCGATTTGGCCCATTTGCCGAGCAGACAAGAGCTGTTCGCGTCGCGAATACTCGGTATCTTTTCCGCCGAGCGTAGCAAGACCTAGACGTTTCATACGGCCGCATACGGTATAAAGGACGACTAGGGTAGCATGTTTAATGTCTTACAGTTAAATAAAGTTTATAGTCGACATGAATTTGATCTTTGGTAGTAATCACTCATCAGATACAGTCAATTCACGACTGTGGCCGTTTGACCATGACTGTGTGTTGTGACTGTCACGGGTGTTTTCGTCGAGAAGTGGACTTAAAATCATGTGAGTGCGAGTGTGTCGTATATCTGTGTGCGACAATGTCTGTATTGCATCATTGTATTGTTATAACTACATTCAAAAGCGATTCACATTCTCAAATTGCTTGGCAGCTACTGCTTAGAGCTTCTGCACTAGGTAACACCAGCGCGTGGTTGCATATCCATGAGTTTGGTGGTGACCATGACTTTTAATGTGACTGCATGAACTGGTACTAAGAATGTGGTAAGTGATATATGTTAGAGGTGGCAAAATGTGGACCCGAGGACCCGGTCCAAAGAACCAGTCTGGACCCATATGGGTCCAGACCGGTTCCTGGAAATTTTATGACGGGTCCAACCGGGTCCTACCATAAGCTATACATCGTGCACACTACACATTATTGCAAAATAAGTGAATGAAGTGAATGTTTTTTTGCACACAGTGGCTCATGAGTATTCCCAGTGGAAAATAGGCGCAACTAATGATACCTACAAGTAGTTTGTATTAATTGACATTTGGGGAACGGGTCCAACTGGTTCCGATTCCAACTTAGACCGGGTCCGACTGGTTCCAGAAATGTTCAGCCGGGTCTGGTTCGAGTCTGGTTCCCAAAATTTTCATCTTTTGCCACCTCTAATATATGTGTTAGGGGCGTTCCTGTGACCGCGACTGTGACGGTCACTGTGTCCGTGTGACTGTTACTGCGACTGAACTGAACTCTGACTATGTTACCGTGTGACTTTGACTGTGACTGTGACTGTGACTGTGACTCTGACTATGACTGTGACTGTGACTGTGACTATGTTACCTTGTGGCTCTGACTGTGACTGTGACTGTGACTGTGACTGTGACTGACCTGGTAGCTGTGGAGCACAGCCAGGTTAGCCTCCACCAGTGCCTGGTCCTTCCAAAGGTTTCGGTAGTTGGAGGTATCCAGTCCCATGTTCTTGGCGATGGGCTGCAAAATACAGACACAAATGAAATATTTCACATAACTTACGAGACGACAGCTCTTTGGGAAATGCTCAAATGCTGAATAAAACGGGATACCATTTAATTTGATATCGCTGTATTTTCATTTAATTTTAAATAACGTCTGTCTTCGGTGGCCATATTTTACGGTTCATATTTTGTTTACCTATGATTAACAACCAGATAAATTATCATTAACCCGGTTTACATAGGGTTTGTTGCAAGCTTATATCTCCGTCCGTGATGCTGCAAAAGATGCCAATGGTGCTTAACAATTTATAAAATGATCCCCTCTAAATATTTGAAGACCACTGCAACGAAATTATCGCCAAATTAACGAGCTAGAGCCTCGTCAAATATGCTATGTAAACCGGGTTATTGTCAACTAAACGTAATATAACCACTGTTCAGTGTTATATTGGACTTAAATTGACGCATCGAAAAGTTTCGGTCAGAAGTGAACTACTGAACGTCTATATTTCATGGATGAAAATTACCAAGGTACGCCATCAGGTCACGCCAGTGAGGAAATTAGGATTGATGACAACATACATCTGCAACTTCTGTCATGCAACTCGGTGTCTTGCGGGCATCTATTGTTGAAGGTAATCTATAACATTGAGCTGAAACTCATGCTGCGTTGGCCGTTTAAACCAGCCACATAGAACAATTGCATGTGCAGCACAGCTGTATGAATAATGGCTGCGATTACATCGGTATTCACGCGGCTGAACTAGTGAATCAAATACTCCACAGACGCATTGGTCTCTGCTAGCTGCAAGGCAACAGATGCAGTCCATGTGCAATGGAGCTCAATACGATATCGTAAATTGTGAATGCACCCAATACTATGTGGCTATAAAAAGTCAGGGGCTGCTTGCTTTGCTGACATCCTGGATGGAATGAACAAATATGTTGCATTCAGTAATGCTCTGGAGCTGCCAAGGCCAGGAGGCCCAACACCTGCTCAACTATTCAGCTCCCTCTGCCGCAAATTAAATTATACTCCACCGGGGACTTCATGCACACCCGGTACGAACCGGACAGCGCAGCCCACACTCCACGCCTGGGGTCACGAGCCGCGCCGACCTCGGCGACCCCACTGACCTCGAGCATGTTGTAGCGCTGCGGGTCACAGAGGTCACGCGCCGCCACCTCGGTGCTCATGTACCAGCCGCTGAAGGGGCACGCGCAGAACTCGATGCCTCCGCAGTCGAACATCATGCCGGAGACCGCCGGCAGCGCGTACCACTGCAGACCCATGTCCTTGAACCACGGGTACCTGCGCGCACAGAGAGGTAGGTAGGCGTGACGCGGGGAGATTGGGGATATGTAAAGTCAGCCTACAATAGACAGGGGCCAGAGAGATAGAACATGGGGCTTGTGCGAGCTTTTATGAACAGTGAAGATAATATGAATGCTGATTTTGCGGAAACTGAATAATTTCAATAGATTTCCAGAGAGAGCATTGGCTCGATAGATCCCTTTGTTCAATGCTCAATGCTCATGCTTCTCAAGATTGCGTTTTATGTCGCCATGGCAGCACCTATGCGTATCCACTATTATGACGCCATTAAAACTACTTATAAAACCCGCCTTCAAATGCTGGCGTTTCCATACAGTCCCCAAGAGATGAGCAGAAACGAACAGAAGATGAGACTGACGCCGATAAGAATACACAGGGAGCCGAACGTGCCCGGCCGCGCCACTCGAGCTTCGAGCTGCTCCTCAATCGGCCGGGGGGTGCTCTTTTATCTAATGAAGGCGCCGCACAGCGCCGATAAATGACGTCAAAATTCAAATGTGAGCCACAGCGTCCTATTTCAGGCGAGCAGCTAACAGTGTTTTTGCGAATAATGTGATAATCTAAGACAAAGGCAGCCACAACAAATCTGCTCGATCTTCGATAGTGCTTCTAACTCATCGTTCCAGAAAAATGCATTAGTGTTATAGTGACAAATGTTGTGTATCTCGCATCGACAAAACGTTCAAACGAAAGCACTGTGACAAATATTTTCAAAGCATCGATGCTTGATTCTAATCAGTAGTTGACTGAAACTTCAGAGGTTACAGCAGACTCGATCACAGACTGACGCATTTGACTTGTTCATGAGGTCACGCGTGAAGCCAGAAACATTCCCACCCAACAATCGAAACAAAACTTATCGTAAATCAAAACATACGTCAGCGTTTCAGTTAACAATCCTGTCGTACACTACATATATCACATCAGGCTGTATCGCGTACGCTTCCCACAAGACTTAAACACATTTTATACCCCAAACAACCCGTCGGAGCGAACCCATCGCTGAGTTTTGGGACCACAAACTCACTTGGGGTGAGAGATGTGAATGCGAAGGATGACATCTTCGGGTATATCGAAGAACTCCGGGTCCTGCCCGCTAGCAGACACGACGATCGGCAGGATGTCGAATCGCCCCTTGGGGCTCTTCCAGCCGAGCTTCTGGCACACCTGAGGGCGAGCGACACGGGGTCAGCAGACTATAGTTATACCCTCGGGAGTTGGGTTGCATGTGCTGTGGTCTGAGTTGGAGAGCATTTCCAGGGGTGAACGACATCCCGCTGTGAAGAACCGCCCGGAACTCACGATGCTGAGCTGCAAGGTGAATTAATGAATGGTTTCCGCACCATCTACTGACACTTAGCGGTTTGGATATGTTGTGATTAAAGCGGTACCCTGATAATGATGCATGCAATGGTGTGATAGATAAGCATGCTAAATATAAAAGCGGCTTCGTTAGACGCCTGGCGTCATACGGGAGTGTTCTGGTTTGTATCAGTCAAGACGATTGGTAGTTATTTCGGTGCCGACAAAATCCACTAGCGGCGTAAACTCGAGCGTAACTGATAGTACGCCGGATCACCGGTTTCTGACCGAAAACTCGTGCCATCACCGCCGAGCAGAAAATGACCATGCATAGCATTACGCTCCTGCAAGACGGTGGCAAATGGTTCGCATACCATAGTCTCAGATTTAACGGAAGATTGTCGCTACCCGGCCCTCCGCAGCGGGACTTTCACGATCAATATCACTCTCTGAGATCGGCGAGCGCGAGCGGCCGTCTTTCGATTCAGACTTGGCCCGCCCGTAACCGCATGAAAGGCGGCCGATTGTAATCTGCGTCAAGCACCGACTACGGCTGCTAAGCCGATCAGCGGGGCTCTTCAGCATGACTCCACAGTCGGAATAGCATGCCACGGCGCCAAACGGCAGCGCTGTTACGCGACCGAATAACATATTCCGCGCATTATGAGTATTGGCTGCAACACTGGCAATCGCTGAAGAAATTCCACTGGTGCCAGGACGGGAGAGAAAATGGTCAAGAATCAAGATGGAACGTCGGTCCCCATTTCCGATTCGGTGAGGAGTAAAGTGTCGCCCATGAACTCAAGCAAAAATGCCCGATTTTCTCTCGAGATGTCGAGTCCTAATGTTAATGAATTGGTGGCTGAATATCGAATACAGTGACCGAACCGGGTGTTACATGCCACGTGAAATGATTTAGTTATATGCCAAAATGCTGTCGTAGCAAAATTAAACGAGAAATGCTCACATGTGCATCCACTGCCCAACATCGATTTTATCAGCCTTTCGTCTTCATGATTAACCCTCGCCGGACCTATTGGTTTTCTACGCACGCGCCGGCCGAGAGGGGGGGGGGGTGAGGGGGAGTAGGTACGAACCCCTCGCCCTCACCATTTCGCCCCTGTTGGAGCTAGAGCGTCGCGTAAAAAACGAGCGTGTGCGCCGTTACGAGACGCAGCGAATGGTGCCCGATTTTAAGGTCCTAGGTCAACCGGTGACCTCTGAGGTCAGGTCAAGTGCCCCAAGGTACGGTTCAGTTTTTGGTGAATAACTTCGCAAAAAACGGCCGCAGAGCGCCGATTTTGGCAGCATCGTGTTCGTCTCGCTCAGGCGCGTCGAATGGTATACTTTTTGTCCGGGTCAGGTCAACTTGGGGTGTTGACCTCAGGTCAAGGTCAGGTCAGCACCCCCAGGTCACGAAGTTGGTCGAAAGGGGTCATGTCGCATGTCATTCGATTCGGCAGGTCTTCCTGAGTCCATTGGTGGCTTTCTCGTCTCGCTAGCTCAATTTGATCAAGAGTTATTGACGAAAAACTAATATGACCTTGATGACGTCATAAATGACGTCACGCAAGGTCAACATTGCAAAAGTGACGCATCTTACCTTGCAAGGAGTGCATAAAATCACGATTCTGTGTGCTTGAGATAGTTGGAGATCGTTCCCGGCGCCAGAATAGCAGTTTTCATTTTTCCCCATTGACTTATAATGGTGAGGTCACGAAAATGAGAGGGCGTTGCGAAGTTGCGACATCTGAAGACCGTGCAGAGGTTCACTTATGACGTCATAGGTCAGTGACCTGACCTGACCCAAAAATGCGGTTGGTGTCAAAAGATGCGGCTTGGATCAAAGGTCAGGTATGCCAAGTTTCAGCTCTCTATCGCCAGCGTGTTCGGAGCTATCGCGAAAAAACCCTATGGGGGGGGGGCGGCACCCGCCCCCCCCTCGGCCGGCGAGGGTTAAGACGTCTAGATACTCATTCATTTTGTCATTACCTTCATTCCTCATCCTCATCCTCATCATCATCATCATCATCATCATCATCATCATCATCATCATCATCATCATCATCATCATCATCATCATCATCATCATCATCATCATCAGGACCATCACAAGACCTTTCTTGAAACACACACTCCGTTCCTCCAAACTGCTGACCCGCCACCTGGCGGCAGGTCACTGACCCCTCTGACCCCTCCGACTGACCTCAGTGAACTCGACGTTGGCAGGGTCGCCGGTGATGGTGCCGTCCTCGTTGCGGTATCCGGCGTACGAGACCAGCTGCATGTTCCACACGCGGTAGTCGTGCTTGCCGTCCGTGCGCTGAGGGAACACCGTGATGGCCGATCTGCCGCCAGACACCAGTGACGTCAGAGGGTGTGTGTGTGTGTGTGACGTCAGTGGGAAGCGCCGTGGTTTCGCAAGATTTAGTTGAAAGGTACGTGGTCGCCGACCGTTCTAACGTGACGCCGGCTCAACAAAACATGTTAAATTTGTGAGCTACGAAACATTTAGCGCGCATGAATGTACCGCGATCCCCACGCCGTTCACTACCTGAGGTTTCCCTTGTTGGTGGTGTACTTGATGTGGTTGCAGATGGCGTCGAACATCTGACCAGCGGTGGTGACCGAGCGCGCGTCAAACAGCTGAAGAGAAAACAACATCGGCGTCAACAGGATGTCATTGAAGGAGAGCGCTCAGAGTGAGGGAAAATGAGGGATGTCGCCCCCTCGGGAAAAAGCACTTTGACGGTGAATACCAAGACCAGCTACAGAAAAGGAATCAGTCATATGACGGCTAAACAACGTAACATCTTGATCGATTCACCATATGTGCTTACGTTCGTAGTGTGAACGTAGTGTGTGTTTACGTTCTGCATATTTCTAATGTTTATTTAATACTCCACTCATCAAGAAACAAAAGTCAAAACCAGTCAATTATTTATCCCAATAAGAGCAGAAATTTGTCTATATGACGCTCCCACTGCCATCACTTACCGTGAGCTTGTTCCACTGGATGCGGCCGATGCAGCGGTAAGCGTTCCTCCAGGCCATCTTGGCGCCGTAAGTCAGCTCCTGGGTGGTCAGCTGGTAGGTGCCCGTCTTGGCGACCTCGGCCTGGATCTGCTCCCAGCGCGCCTGGTGAAACCCACTCGGGGGCCTGTCGGAGGGACCGGTGTTAGTCGAATGTTGTTCAGGCGGTAAGGTGGTTTTGAGCTTTGAAGCTTTCATTACGTTTATCGATAAAGTGGATATTAGCCGTTTTCACGACGGGCTATCTGGCGAATGCACCTAATCTGACCAAATCTGCACCAAATCTCTTTTGCAATAAATATATTCGTATCAGAAATTTATTTTAATGTTTCAAGCGACAATAATGTCTAATAGTTTCAAAAAATGAGGTATGCAAGCATCTGTGCAGCCCAAACTAATAACGTTAAGAAACACACTGAACCTAATTTGACCAAATATGCACCAGATCTGCACCTAATCTGCACCAAACGTGTACCAAATGGCCGTCGTGAAAACGGCTATTAGTGGTCTTTTAACTCGTGCGAAAGTATGCATCAATATCGGCTGGCCATTGTGTTAGAAGGGCTGGCAATCTTTTGGTGTCAGCTAGTGCGAGATATTATAAAGTTAAGCTAAGACCACGGCATAACAAGGTAAAATTTGGGACATTGTTAGCGGTAACATAAAATGGTGGGGTAATAAACCCATTTCCTACATGCCGGGGTATGTCTTAAGCACAGCACGAGCCGGGCAGTAAAACTATGACCAAGAAACTCTCGGTGTCAAAATGGCATGTTATTTGATAGGCCGGGCAGTAAACAAATGTTTACTGCCCGGGTTTACTGCCCAGGGCAATGACCTCTAAACTACAGTTTATCGGATTAGCCCAGAGGCATAATTGACAGGGAATATATAATTGACATCATTATTGCATGATATTTGCCGCGTAAAATAAGAAAACTAACATTTTTGGGTAAAAAAATAGCTGCTCTGCTTATCAAAGGTTTTGAAATATTTTGTATTGGTTACAAAGCCGAAATTATGGTAAGATATGCGCCTATTTAATCGAAATCCGTTATCGCTTGCTGTCTTATCTTCGTTTGATATGTCCACTGATACCTTGGGCCTAAGTTATTGCGTCATTATTTGAAAGTTGTAGTCCTTTCCTCGAAACAAACATGTAAAATAAGGAAAATATAGGGTGAATAGGTCAAAAACGCCCCCAGTAAGCGCGAAACCTTCTGACACTCAACCTAACCCAGATTACTCAAACCTTTGGGCACCATCATGTAGCTCATTCTTTTTACTACGCTTTGAGACCAAGAAAAGACACTTGCGTGTGGTATTTAACCCCCAAAAAAGGTTTCCGCATACCCTTACAAAAGGGCGTTTTGCCCCACACCCTGGGTAATACGCCCACACCCATGTGCAAAGCGCCCCCACCCCATCCATCAACAGAGAAAATGATGAACATGGCACAACTTGACGTCATTCTGACGTCATTTGTGGTCAACCTATCATAGCCTTTGGAATAAAATGTTGTTGCAATGTGTAAAATGGATGCCCGGAGGAGTCCTGAAAGTTTGGTGACGATATCTGCAGTCGTTTAGGATGTATCAGCAAAAAAGGACAGGGAGAGGCCTTTTCGGCCCCGACCTACAGGGCGCTGCCCTGCACTCTCACCACCGTGCAAAACGCCCCCCTTTCAGAAAACTGGGGGCGTCTTGCCCCATGCATCGAGTAGGCGTCTTTCCCCATCCACTCCATTTCCGGTCAACAAAATATTGACAAAAAACGCGCCACTAACGCCACAGCATAATAAATTCAACAGAATGACAATAAAACGCAGTTTTGAGTGATGTGCACAATAGCAAGTTTTGTGAAATAAAGAGGGCATCAAAAGCTTAGGAATCTTCTGTAAAAACAACAAAAACAACACCCAAAACCAACATCAGCACCTACCCACGCTGCTCCCCAAGACGCAGAACCGGAAATAGAGAACTACGTAAACAAGCAGCTGACTGTTCTGAAAGACAGGATAAAACACCTATCCGCCGATAAGATCTACGATTTTTTTAGGGGAGGCGTTTAACCCAGGGGTGCGTTTTCCCCACAGTTACCCTAATGTATTTCACGAAAGTTTAGTCATAGAGCATCAACAAAGTATGATTACATAAATAAAGAAAAGATTCTTGCAAGAGCACTGGAAAATTCACGTTATATCACAGGAACATTATACCTTCTTCTTGTCCTTATGTCGTGGTAAAATATTCATGGATTATGTTCCTTAGATATCCAGTTGTTATGCCATTCTGAGTTGATATTTTCAGACGCGATTCTTTTTGAAGAAAGGTATTTTGACGCATTTTCTTCTATAAATTTCCTTATCCACAGCAGAAGCGCAATCACTGTTAGGAAATTATAGACAAAACAATTGTATAAAAGTGTCACCAAAACTAGTCGAAACTACTAAGCAGGTATGCGGCATGTAGGAAAAATCTTACTGACCTCAGCCGTACGAAATTATTTGGAAACTCGGCTTGCAAAATTTGACTCCGGCCCTCGTGCTCCGCACTCGGGCCTCCGTCAATTTTGCAAACCTCGTTTCCAAATAATTTCGTCGGCCCGGTCAGTAATATATAACAATAACGCATTCCTACATTTTCGGGCGCCTAGTCTCTGTCGCACCTGTTCATGGAACGGTAGTAGCCGTCGATAAACTCCTTGGCCTCCTGCAGGAGCACCTCCTGGGAGCGAGGAGTGCCACGAGGTCGATCCTGGTGCTCCGGAGAGCGAGGGAACATCACACTGCCCCCGCAGTGCTTCGGCTGACACGGTGTGTCCTGAGAATACGCGCAGAACACACACACGTGAGCACAGTGGAGACAGGCGTCGATAGTTCTGGTCAAACACTCGAAGATTCAAACAGCCGTCGGTGAAAGATGATGAGCGATTGGTGAAACCGGCACCAGAGCGAGCCGCTACGGGACGGTATACCGTGGAACGAGGTAGGAGCGTGAAAGGTGTGTTGTTTGGGCAGCTCGTTTCGTGAATCGATACCTACTGACACTTCATTTCGCACCGGGACACTTCGGTGCCAATGATAGAAAGACGGTCATTTACCCTCACCAAAGCCCCAGACCTCCATCAATTTTCTGCTTAGCGTATGGCGGTTGAAGCAATATGACCCCCTTCGCAGTTCCAGTTCTGAGCTAGATTTTCGCACAAAAAATGAGCGTGGCAACCGGTGACCCGTGACCCGTGACCCGTGTAAGTACACCTCTTCTGTGACAACGGAAGAGGTGTACTTACACCTCTTGATAAGGCCTCTGGTCTAACGGTGACGTCCGCTAAGGTCAGGTCAGCGACCTTAACGTCAGCTTTGGGATTTTGCTAAATACCATCGGTAAATTTGGTCGCAGAGCCGCGAATATCTGTATTATAGTACTTACCTTGCCTAGCCAACATTATAAAATCACAAATGACGTAGGTTATTCATAACGTCATGTGTTGTTAAACACAAGGTCAATCTTGCACCTGTGGTCATGGGATTACAAAATAAGGGTATGAAACCATATTTTTTGGCGGCTCCAAATTATGTAGATGACATAACTTGCAGCGCAAAATTTACGTGCCGAATCACATATGGCGGTACATAGTGGTCTGTGACTTAGTAATTCCTCGTTTAGTTAAATCCCAAAAGGATGTAGCGTGACCGACCAGACCTCAAGTGATCCATGCAAAAAATCCCAGACAGAAATAGTACCTACATACGCGGGTCCTACTTTTTCGGAAGATTCATCTCGGCCCAGTAAACGGTTTGTCGGTAATGCAAAATCACCACTCCTTTGGACCGTGTAGATGATTACTTATGACGTCATAGGTCAGTGACGTCACATAAATGCAAATAGGATCGGTACCAAAAGGTCAGCTTAGAACCAACGATCGATATATAGGCCCAACTTCGGCCCTACGTCGAATGCACTTCGAGCAATCCCGAGAATACGAAATAGGGTAGGGCACTCGTTACCCTTCAGCCGGCGAGGAGCTGATTTAAAGCGTAACTGAACGTAAAACTCTTTCCAATATTTAATATATTTAGTTTCCCACATACTTTACATCATATGGCACATCTTCTTAGTTCCATGCTGACATTACAAAGTGTACATGCATGTGCAATGTGCATGTACATGCATGCGATTGAAAAATGCTACATGTTTCATAAATTTCATCTTACGTAAGTGCACGACCGTTTCGTTTGCAGCGAAATAAATGATCTGTAGCGCGCGACAGTTTGGTGTGATGAATTGCAGAATGCTATTCAATTCTGTCACCAAATAATAAATGAACAGGTCAGACGGCCTCTGTTAAAGCCGGGCATCGTCAAAGATCGCGTTATTTCTTTAAATTCATATTGAATATTGCAATGGATTGATATGGTTTCTGTCAATATGACGGCAGCGCTAAGATAAAGTAACGCGTTCCTTCGATTGGAACAATATATCGTTGAACGGTACATAAGTTTAGTCCCGTGATGTTTTCATACCTCATGTTGGCGACATGCCTACAGTTCAAAGACTGTGTTCATCAGAAGCAATGCATACCAAAGGCAAAGAAATCAGTGAATACTGAACCAAAGCGAGGGAAACGAAACCCAAGCAGCAGTGAGGATGCAATTTTTTGTAATAATTGTTTTTATATGCATGGACTCGTCCCAAATAATCAGATTAACTTTCTTAAATCAATTGAACCTCTGACTACACACTTACGTGTATCTATGTATCAACTACTTCCTGCATGCGTATAGGTAGCTTATATGTAAGTGACATTAAATGATCTTAAATAAGCCTATAGATTGCTGAGAAGACACCAATCAACATTTTTCAACACCGTCCCCCTCGGCCCTCGCAATCCTCGGAAATCACGTGACCATTTCTCCACCAATAACCGGTTGGGGTGATGGGTGATGACGCGATATTACCACTTGCCCGCCCACATACAGTCTCGGCGCAATAATACTATATCCGATACGGCAGGAACCCGGTAAGGATCTGGCTGCAGAATCTGGTCAACGAATATAGCGGCAAGTATCACCGCTACCCTGCATTGGATTCATGATGCACCAGCGTCAAGGGCTGCATGTGCTCAGAAAACTATCGACACATGACCGACACTGTACCTTATAGTTAAGAATTAATGCAAACTGGCTTGTCATCACTAATTCTAATTCATTAAGGATATAGTACGTGTGAAAATTTGAGTTAAAAAGCTTCATCGAAAAAGTCAATAAGTTTGAGCACTTCTAGCGCCATGAGAGACTGCCAAAAGTTTGTTAAGCGATGAATGTAATAAAAAGCTATAGGTATAAGGTATTTGTCTTTTTACACATTAAAGGAGAATCGTATCTTCTTCAGGAGGCATTAGAGAAGACCAACCGACCCCAGCCTTCGTACGAACAAGCCTGTAACGTTTTTGATGGGGTCTTTACACCGGTAAATATGCTGAGAAACGTATTATTACGTTGAGAAAACTTCAGCCCTTACAGGCTGAACTTAACTTATCTTGATGTATCTGGGTGACCGCATGACAGGGATATAAGCGTCATCTTCCTTACATTTGCAACGACTTGAACCGATGGCGCTGAATTTTAACCCGGTCATTGGGCACCTACTAACCGATGCATTCCCATGTTTCAGTTTCACTGTTGAGGTACTAACGCACGTTCCTATACAGGACCCGTTTTACAGCTGAAGAACGGCTCGACTGATTGATTACGCTCAAAGTTGTTTTGCCGTTAGTTACCGGCTAGATAAGTGACCCGCACAAGGCAGTTGGGTCTTATTTGGCACTGGGCGCTATTTTGCGCACATAAGATACTAATAATTATGGTTAGGAGAAGCTCGTCTAAGTAGTCTTAAAATGAATTACACATAATGTTGGTGAATCAGAGAATGGGATCAATGCAAGCGATACAGTTCTGGAAAAATATGGGAGGCTATATGTGTGCCCATATTATCAAATAATTTGATAATTTGATTTGATTTGATAATTTGCTATGACAGTGCTCCGATGACCTTATTCCGATTTAATTTGATTCAAAGATTAATGATTTTCTCACTGAAGTAATAACGATAATTCAACCCAGGAATACAACATATCTATGAGCCCATAAGAACTGAAAAAGGCAAAACGGTTGAGGAGGCTCAACTCATGGCCCTTATCAGCAGAAACGCTTATGCGGCAAATCATCGCTGGGTTTTATCACGTTTTTTTCCGACAAGATGTGTCTCTTATATTTCTAAAAGAATACCGATAAAAGAATCACTTTCGACATGCTTCAACTGATGTTGACTGACGAACACTGTCCATTGGCGTTGGTAAGACCGCCATCTAAAAATTTCCACCCACCTCATGGGCCTGGTTGCAGAGCGTGTCGACAAACTCCTGGCCGTTCTGATAGTTCTTCAGCTTCATGAACTTCCTGTTCATCGGATGGTACTTGGACGAGCCGAAGCCGGTGAACGGGCAGCCCGAAGGCACCGTGTCCGTTTGTTCGGGAGTCTCCTTCATGGCTCAACTCACGGAGCGGCGGTGACACGAGGTGGTGACACGGGCGGTGACACGGGGCGGTGACACGGGGCGGTGACACGGGGCGGTGACACAGGGTAGTGACACGGGCCGTGGCACGGGCGGTGACACGGGGCAGTACGGGACGGGACGGCGCGGACGGGGGCGCGCCAGCGACGCGAGTGGCGCTGGACGGCCCGTCAGCCGGTTATATGGCCATCCACCTGGCGCCCCGCCCCCCGCCCCCGCCCCCGCTCCGGCGACGTTCACAGTGCGGCCCATGGCGGCCGCGGGCCGGACTTCCCCGCACGGAGGATGGAGTCGTCGGTACTGTAGACGCCGCCGCTCGGAAAAAGACGTAAAATAATGCAGAAATAAATATAAACAAAAGGAGATATGCAAATAACAATTACTATTTGAAACATTAAACATCATTACGGAGCGAGCGAAGAGAGCGGCTCTTCATCTGGTACACATTTGGTGTAGATCAGGTACAGATTTGTTGCAGATTTGGTCAAATTAGGTTTATTGTGTTTCTTAAAAGTTGTCCGTTTCGGTTGCACAGATGCTTATGAACCTCATTTTTTCAAATCATCACACGTTATTTTCGATTGAAATACTGAAATTAATTCATGATACGATATTTGTTGTATAGGAGATTTGGTGCAGATTTGGTCAATGTTATTACAGTCAGATTTGCGGATTGGTTGTTTATTATGCCTCGCATCCGTTTTCCCATACATTTCCGGTTTGTAGAATAAATAATACCTTCACGCCGTGAGACTAAACGCTCTACCAATTAAATTCTTAACGCCTTAGAGATTGGTTCATATGCCTTCTTCGATGGATTTCGTGACAAGACAGTTTTATGAAAAGCCGATCCCCTAAAGAAATGATGTGTCAAATTACCTTGCATGCGTACAAGAACCGCGCATAACGGTGCGTGCTAATTCTACTCCATAAGAAAATATGATACAAAAAATAGGTCTTCTTATTCTAGCTTCGTGTCCGGGCCAAAAATGTTACCCCTGGCTCTGGGCCATGGATGCTACAGAAAAACAACAACGACGAAAACAGGGGAAAATGCCTAGAGAAGAAACTATTTCGTGGCGTCGTCTTAGGTTCTGTCACATACATAGGTACACAACTCCCTTCAGGTAAAATAGATTGGGGCCCTGAAAGTGAAATGAGCAGCATATGACCCAAAAAACACATGCCCATCCGCATCGCCAACATTACGCATGCAAACATACATAAGCATATTAGCCGACGCGTCGCGCAGTTTCTAAATCCAGACTTCCCCGTACCGGGGGTGCCCGCCCGACTGCTGTATTTTCACGTGGGCCTTTCCTGAGTGACTGGCCGGAGGGTCTGCTGAGCGCAGTTGATGGCGCCGCTGTTCACCTCACTGCGGCACAGTTGTCACGTCAGCGGTGTGCCGGCGCGCTGTGCCCTTAGCACGTGCTCGGCGATCGGTGGTACGAGTAACCTTCATATACCAATTTTCTTTTGGCGCGACTCGGTCTCGACTCCTTTCACGCCCTCTGTCGATCAGCGTCCTGCATAGGGTCAGTACCGTGATTTCCCGCTGAAAGACGAGACGGACTGATGAAAGGAGGAGACAATGGGTTGGGAGGGAAGATAATGTAATAGTGGGGGAGTGGGGAGGAGGTGGGGAAAGATGTTCCCTCTGTGATGGTTTGTCAGCAAAGGGAAGGGTGCAGTTCGTGGGGCGCCGCCGCCTGTAGTCACTTCCACGTCAGTGCAATGTCTGGCCGACCGCTAGGTGTCACTGGGTGTTTCATATGAGTCATGGGTTCACACGATGCCGCCGCCGAGTACGTACGGGCGTTTGCGGCGTCGATGTGTGTATGGCTGTGGGCCTCGCCGTTCTAATGAATCTTACAGTCTCATCCGATCCAGTAAGGTGCCATTAGCACGTGCTCGGCGATCGGTGGTACGAGTAACCTTCATATACCAATTTTCTTTTGGCGCGACTCGGTCTCGACTCCTTTCACGCCCTCTGTCGATCAGCGTCCTGCATAGGGTCAGTACCGTGATTTCCCGCTGAAAGACGCCAAAGAAATTGCCAAATGTATGGGAGTGCGGCGCAATGGCTCATTCTCTTCGGGAAGGGCAGTGTAGGGACTTGGTGCCGGCTGGCGGCCTGTCTGTGTGCACTGACATCTGTGCACACCCTTGACGCGTCCCTGCGTGGACGCTGACCGCTGTGCACGTCCGGCGCCTCGGGCACACGGTGGACGATCGCAACCGGCCGGTGAGTCGCGCCGGTCATTCGGTGCCAGGACTTAAAACAGGCTGTGTCGATGGACAAGTTTCTCAGTACCTTACTCACTGCCAGCGGATAGATGAGTTCAGTGGGAGTGCGACACTGCGACGGTCACCGGACCGGTGAGAGGCAGATAGGCGCGAGGTCCAGTGTAGGTGTGACGGTCAGTTGACATGCTCGTGGCGGCAATGCAGCATGCAGTCATTCTAGCACCCACAGAGTGGCATACGGCCAGCAGTGACCTGACTCCAGCCCAGATGGCCCGCTGCAGACCCGGTGCAAGACGACCCCCGATCAGCTACGGACCTGCGGTCCGGGCGCCGGGCCAAAGGCCGCTACGCCACGGTCACGGTCAGCTGACGTCATGGCGGATGAGTCACCCGGGCCGCCTCACGGCGCAGTGACGGTTACGTGACACGCCCGCGCCTGCGCCGCTGGCGGCCACGTGGCTACCAGCAGTTGCTGTCGCTGCCGCCGCGGCGCCACCAGCGCTGGAGGTGTCCACACCTACCGCTGACGTCACGATCACGCGATCGCTGGGCAGAGGTCACACGATTGCTGATCGCTCCCGCCAAGATGGCGTCAGGGTGGCTTGGCCTTGGGTGCACAGAGACATTAGGTCATGCACGTGGACAGGTCTATGAACACAACAAGATGCGAGGCTAGCAGTCTGGTGGCAGCATAAATCGTAACTCCCCGAAATGGGGCACGAGCATAACTGCGTATACGGTCGGTGATACTGTCGGCCGTTGGAGAGCTCTGGCCTGAACAATAATGGCCGACGTGCAGCCCTGTCCTAGGGCCAGTCGGTCGTGGCGGCCAGTAGGGCGGCAGCGGAAATGCAGGATACGACCCACCTTATTTGCGCTTAGTGGCAATCTGCAATCGTCGGCAGGCAGCACAAAGATGTTCCCTCTGTGATGGTTTGTCAGCAAAGGGAAGGGTGCAGTTCGTGGGGCGCCGCCGCCTGTAGTCACTTCCACGTCAGTGCAATGTCTGGCCGACCGCTAGGTGTCACTGGGTGTTTCATATGAGTCATGGGTTCACACGATGCCGCCGCCGAGTACGTACGGGCGTTTGCGGCGTCGATGTGTGTATGGCTGTGGGCCTCGCCGTTCTAATGAATCTTACAGTCTCATCCGATCCAGTAAGGTGCCAGAACCGTCCGCCCTCATCCGGCCCCATGAGGTGAGCCGTGAGGTCAGCCGCCGCTCCCTGAGGTTGCAGAGACGGGACAGTACCGCTGATAGGAGGCGGAACTGAGTCACCTGCTGACTTGCTGCACATTGCACATTATCGGAAAGCATCCAGGGCATACCGCACACACCATGCTGACTTGGGAGAGCTAAAAATGTACAGTCGAAGTGGGAGGGGAGTCCCTGTGGTTTTCTGTATGATGCATTACATTGATCTCGTGTATGCGAAGTTGATACGATTTTCATCTTTTTGATTGTAAGCAGCGAACAAAGAATGCCTCACAATGAGACTATTTGAAGCTCTACCCGAGTGAGCTGAATAGACCCTTTTAGCAGCATGCGCGTGAGCAGTCATGTGCAAATACTTCCCCTGAAAACGAGCAGCCTTTCTTTGAGTCATTGAAACTCCATTAGTGAGCGCGCTACGCTTGATGCTCGTTTTTCAGAGCGGGTTATCATACGAGTATGCTCATTGCTCATGTGTTCCTTCCGGCCTCGAATCCCCCCGTTAGTCTCTTCTTTGATAACGCAGCTATCACCACTAGCTCAAGTGGATGCTTTGGCGTGCTGAACTCCGCCTTTTGTCTCCTCGCGCAACGCCAGCACAAGTCAAATGATTGTAGTTAATTCATAGCAGTTTTTATCATCTGCTAACAACCTCGCTTTGTTTACCACAATCACGCCGTCGAGAGCGTCAGGTGCTGGGTCACAAACGCCCGACAGTTTCCGCATCTGAGGGGTACGCGATGACAGGATGCCGACGCGAACCGGCCGGGGATGGTGCCCGCTCAGCAGAAACGTTATCAGCACTGAATGCCCCTGAAATGTAAAGAACGGCTCAGATGCACCATATTCCTTACCTTTATACCGAAGAATTCGGTAGGCTGCACCATGCGTTCTCTGGTGGTTCTCCTGCTCATCGGTCTTACCACTGCTGCAGAGTCGTGAAGGAGCCCTATACGGGTTGTCCTGCATCAATATGGCTCATTCGGCAGCCACGGCTCATCCAGCAACTCTGGCTTATCGGCATCTGCGACTCATCCGGCAGCCATGGCTCATCCGGCATCTCTGGCTCATGCGGCATATCTGGCTTACTCGGCGGTGCGAGCTACTTCCATGACTCTGGTTCCTCCGGTAGAATCAGCCCCCCCCCCTGCTGAGGACTCTGGCTCCTCCAGTAGTAGCAAACCCCCCACCCCCCGTTGCTGGGGGCTCTGGCTCCGATTCCTCGCTGTTTGACTTCAAGATCAATGTCACGTAGAGGTCAAATGCTGCAGGATAGGCACCGGAGGAAGTTGAGACAGCATCAACATGGACGACCGCTCCGGCGCGATTGTTTACCAACAACCAAGGATAGGAGCACACACCCATGCAGTGCGCATTTGGCTCCTATGGTAAAGATATAGCAAACCATGATAGTGCACCTGCTGCATACTGAATGTATAGGAAAGTACAGGGTGTTCCAAAAGTTTTGAAGCTTTTTATTTTTGTCGTATGACCGTGCTATGTCACCGGTTAAGGCAAACGATACCTAAAACGAAAAACTAAAGAGCATGAACGGAAGTTTTGTGTTTTCATGCTCATGTAGAGCACTACGTCAGTCAGGTGGCCCCCGCTGTGAGTCACACAAGAATGAGCGAGAGAGCGCGCGCTCTCCGCTGTCAAGTTCTCCGATTTGCAACACTCCAGTGTCTCCATGCCCGTTTTCTTGTCGGCTTCAGTCTTGTTCCCTGAAGCGGACCACGTAACGGCGCATTGCATTCCCCGAGGGTACATTAGCAGCAAAAAAGTTTACTTGTCGGAAGGCCTTTTGGGTTGCTTTCACGCATCTATTTCGAAAATATAGCTCGACTTCTCGAGCGCGCTAGGAAACAGTCCATTGCATTTTTTTAATTAACGCAGTATTTTGGGGCTAACATAAATATCAACCTGGGGCAAATCACATCATGCATCAGAAACTTTTGTACATGTTGTTTATAAACTACCAGCTTTTATTTATTTTTATCCTTGCGCATTCACGTAACAACTAACTGAACTGGCTGAAAGGCCTCTGGGACACCCTGTATATCGCCCCTTATTTGATAAATGTTGACGTTGCAATAAAATGCCTACTCTAACTGGCATACACAATTTGCACCTGCATGTGAGGATTTGAGGAAGTTGGCTACACATCTTGATCATATCACAAATATGCAGCTGACCAGGCGGATAAGGATATCGACACAGACACAGACACAGACACAGACACAGACACAGACACAGACACAGACACAGACACAGACACAGACACATACAGACACGGATAATAGACACAGGCACCGACAGACACACAGACACAGACAGATACAGGTACGGACACAGACAGACACACAGACACAGACAAAGAGTCACAGACACAGACACAGACACAGACACACAGACACAGACACAGACACATACAGACACGGATAATAGACACAGGCACCGACAGACACACAGACACAGACAGATACAGGTACGGACACAGACAGACACACAGACACAGACAGACACACAGACACAGACACAGGCAAATACAGACACGGATAAGAGACACAGGCGAGGGCAGACACGCATACAAAGGCATAAACACAAACACATAGGCACAGACACGCATAGTAATCACATACAGACACAAACACAGAGAATCACAGACACAGACACGGGAGCCACAGATATATACGTACACAAACAGAGAGGCGCATACTTAGACACATCACACAGATACATACAGACAGACACAGACACAAAGAGGCGCCATCCCTCGGTGGTCAGTACGCTGCTCTAGCTCCGCGGACCGCCGCGCTGAACACCGCTTCAGTGTACGGCCAGCACAGCCGGCACACCTCCTGGAACAGCATCGATTGGCTTCAGTTGTGAGTCGGCACCCTTGTGTGCGATTCTCCGCGGACTCCATGTGTGACGCTGCCGCGACATTTGCGGCGCGCTCGGGGAAGTGGCGGGAACTTTGTGACTCGGTGTTGTGTGGCGTAGCTGGCCACGTTTAGTCGCGGAGCATAACCACCGTGGAAGCCCCGAGGCGCATTCTAAGACACTAGGATATGATTAGTCTTTGGTTGCATTCATTCTGAGTGTTCTCGGTAGCTTTAACCCGGCACCGCCTGGGCTATTTCCGTACCCACGACAGCCTGGGGGGGTCGGATCCGACCCCCCCTGTTATCTCGAGAACCAATGGACGCACCGAGCCCCGCGAGGCGGCGTTCGAAAGGGCTCTACGAGAGCTTCCCAAAGCACTCTTAAGATTTTAAGATTGAGGTCAACTTTCGGGTCAAGGTCAGGTCAAAGGTCAAATTCTGGGGTTTTGCATGATTAGGCTTACGGACAGCGGAATCGATAGCTGCTGCTCGAAACTCACCAAAAATGACCTCAAAGGCCTAGTGAAGGTACCATGTGCGTATAGGGGTCATACTAAGTACGGGTCAAGGTCAGGTCAGGTCACGAAAGGTCACGGTTTTCACTTTCTGCTACATGGGCGTGCGACACATGTTTTATGGCTTATTTTTCACGCCGAATCCGATGGTAATGGTTATATGTGACCTCAGCTGGTAAAAAATGTGCATTGAAAGCCTAAAAAATCGTTTATACCATACATAACTAAACGAGGGCTAAGAAAAAAGGTCAATTTTTCAACTTTTTATTTTGACATAAAAATACACTTTTCTAGACGAGCTTTGTCCCAGGAATCTAGTGGTGCCATTTGTTTTCACATGCAATGTTCAGAAGTGCCCCTAATTCACGAAAATGCTTATGACGTCACCATGCCCTATGCATGTTGGAGCTATTTTTTACATTTTGGGGGTCAAAAATCAAGATAGAAAGTTGAAATTTGGGACATTTTATGTTCTAATAGAGCTCTATAACATATATTACGGTTTTTGGAAATTCTCAAAATTTTGGATTTTATTAGTTGTTTTCCAAAAAATATAGTTTTTTGAATTTTTAGGGGTGAAAAACGCATTTTATAGAAAATCCGAGATAGCCATTTTAAAGAACTCGTTGAGTTGCGTCTATGCATGTCCTTAATTTGCAATTTGCTTCAAACCCTGATTTTTGGCGATTTTTTAAACATTTACCAATTTTTGACTGAAAACGCCATGTAGTTACATCACTAAAATCGATATATCTCAAAAATTTTTGGAAAAATTTTCTTAAAAATCACACAGGAGACGTCCAATTGATGGGGGAGAAGGTATGCCAAGTTTCAAGTTGATAGCGTAAGCGGTTCATGAGTTATTCAAGAAAAACGGAGGGGGGGGGTCGGATCCGACCCCCCCAGGCGGTCGCGGGTTAACCGTCGCCGGACCTAGTGGATTTTTACACACACGCTGGCCGAGAGGGGGGGGGTTGGTTGGTTGGTACGACCCCATCGTCGTTTCGCCCCTGATGGAGCTAGAGTGACGCGGAAAAAAACGAGCGGTGCCGTTACGAGACGCAGCGAATGGTGCCCGATTTTAAGGTCTCAGGTCAACTGGTGACCTCTCAGGTCAGGTCAAGTGACCCAAGGCACGGGTTCAGTTTTTCATAAATTCTTTCGCAAAAATAAACGATCACAGCACAGAGCCGCGATTTTGGCATCATCGTGTTTGTCTTGCACAGGCGCGTCGGATGGTATACTTTTTGTACGGGTGAGGTCAACTTGAGGTGTTGACCTCGGGTTAAGGTCAGGTTAGCGCCCCCAGGCACGAAGTTGGTCAAAGGAGGTCATGTTGCATATCATACGATTCAGCTGGTCTTTTGAGTCCATCAGTGGCTTTCCAGACTCGCTAGCTCCATTTGATCGGGAG